GCATTCCCTAGGGCTGCTGAAAAAGAGATCCAGGTTGTAACAAAAAGATTCACCTCTGTTTTCCAGAAGAATGTACACTATAGCATACAAGCTTCTTTCATCTTGTAAGACAGATGAACCTGTACAGTTAGTTGTACCCCAAGTAAGCAAGTTTCTTTTTATCTTTTTTTTTTTTTTTTTTTTTTCTCCCAATAATGTTATCTTTTAAAACAAGCAGTGGATTTTCAAGATTTCCCAAACCAGTTCCAGAAAGGGATGATCAGGACTTAGCTCACTGGCAACTGAAAATGTGGTTGTACATATCCAGCTCTGGCCTTGGGAGTTGCTGTCTTATTTAAATGCAGTTAAGCATAAATAAGTTCTTAGAAGACTGTATCATTATCATTTATCATTGTAATTTCTGTACACAACAGATTGGAGGCCCTGGAGCTTGAGAGACCGGTAGGTGAGGATGAGGTAGGAAGTCTACCCAGGAGGATGCCTAGGGCGAGGAAGTCGACTCCATGCCTCAGGACTGCCTCTACCAAGACAGAAAGAAGGGTGTTGTAGGTGACTCCCTTCTCAGGGGAACAGAAGGCCCTATTTGTCGGCCTGATCCTACCCATAGGGAAGTCTGCTGCCTCCCTGGGGCCAGGGTCAGGGACATTGCCAGAAAGCTTCCCAACCTGGTTCACCCCTCTGGCTATTATCCTCTTTTAATAGTCCAGGCTGGCAGTGATGACACTGAAGAGAGAAGCCTGAGGGCTATCAAATGGGACTTTAGGGGACTGGAATGGTTAGTGGATGGAGTGGGAGTACAGGTGGTGTTTTTGTCTATCCCCATGGTGGCAGGGAGGAGTACGGGGAGGGCATGGAAAGCCCACCTGATATACATGTGGCTCAGAGGCTGGTGCCAACAGAGAGTTTGTTTGTTTGTTTGTTTTTTTATAATGGGGTGCTTTACTCAGCACCCAGCCTGATGGCTGCAGACAGGTCCCAATCTCTAAGGGGAAAACAGATCCTAGGCCAGGATGGCGGGGCTCATTGAGAGGGCTTTCAACTAGGTAAGAAGGGGAAAGGGCTGAAACGAGGCTTGTTAGAGCTGTACCAAGGGGAACAATGGCAAAGCTGGGAGAGAAGGCAATGGCCCAACTGAAGTGCATCTACACAGAGAACACAGCATGGATAACAAACAGGAGGAGCTAGAAGCCATCGTGCGGCAGGCAGGCTACGACTTGGTTGCCATCACGGAGACGTGGTGGGACCAGTCTCATGACTGGAGTGCTGCAGTGCCTGGCTATAAGCTCTTCAGAAGGGACAGGCAGCACAGAAGGGGTGGTGGTGTGGCTCTCTATATCAGAGAGAGTTTTGATGTTGTGGAACTTGAAGCTGGGAATGATAAGGTTGAGTCCCTATGGATTAGGATTGGCGGGAAGGCCAACAAGGCAAGCATCCTGGTGGGGGTCTGTTATAGACCTCCAGACCAGGATGAGGAGACAGATGAGGAGTTCTACAGGCAGCTGACAGAAGTTGCGAAATTGTCAGCGCTTGTTCTCATGAGGGACTTCCCAGACATATCCTGGAAGAATAACACGCCCCAGAGAAAGTAATCTAGGAGGTTTCTGGAGAGCGTGGAAGATAGCTTCCTGATGCAGCTGGTTAGTGAGCCTACCAGGGGAGGTGCCCTGCTAGACCTTCTCTTCACAAACAGAGAAGGACTGGTGGGAGATATGGTGGTTGGAAGCTGTCCTGGGCAGAGTGACCATGAAATGGTAGAGTTCTCCATTCTTGGAGAAGCCAGGAAGGGGACCAGTAAAACCACTGTACTGGACTTCTGGAGGGCCGACTTTGAACTGTTCAGGACACTGGTTGGTAGAGTCCCTTGGGAGGTGGTTCTGAAGGGTAGAGGAGTCCAGGGAGGCTGGGCGCTCTTCAAGAAGGAAATCTGAATGGCGCAGGAGCAGTCTGTCCCCACGTGCCCAAAGATGAGCTAGCATGGAAGAAGACTGGCCTGGCTGAACAGAGAACTGTGGCTTGATCTTAGGAGAAAAAAAGAGGGTTTATGATCTTTGGAAAAGAGGGCAAGCCACTCGGGAGGACTATAAGGATGTTGCAAGGCTGTGCAGGGACAAAATTAGAAAGGCCAAAGCTCATCTGGAGCTCAATCTGGCTACTGCCATCAAAGACAACAAAAAATGTTTTTTCAAATACATCAACGCAAAACGGAGGACTAAGGATAATCTCCATCCTTTACTGGATGTGGGGGAAAACTTTAGTTACAAAAGATGAGGAAAAGGCGGAGGTGCTCAATGCCTTCTTTGCCTCAGTCTTTAGCGGCAAAACCAGTTGTTCTCTGGATACCCAGCACGCTGAACTGGTGGAAGGGGATGGGGAGCAGAATGTGGCCCTCACTATCCATGAGGAAATGGTTGGTGACCTGCTACGGCAGTTGGATGTATGCAAGTCAATAGGGCCAGATGGGATCCACCCGAGGATACTGAGAGAACTGTCAGAGGAGCTTTCCATCATTTATCAATGGTCCTGGCTATCAGGGGAGGTCCCAGTCGACTGGTGGCTAGCAGATGTGATGCCCATCTACAAGAAGGGCTGGAGGGTAGACCTGGGAAACTGTAGGCCTGTCAGTTTGACCTCAGTGCCAGGGAAACTCATGGAGCTTACTTAACTTTCCTGTTGCTTACTTAAACAGATAGTGTTACTTAATTCATTGTTTGAAAAAAGGAAGTGGATTGATCAGTGCATTGCAGTCTGATGCTGAGTAATGTAACAACTGATCACACTGTCTCCTGAATTTCCTCTTCAGACAAAACTTGGTGCTGGATGAAAATTAAGAACAAATCTGAAAATGAAGTTATCTTTTTCCCAGGAGTTTACTAAAGTACACACCTGACACCAAGTCCTGTTATGTGCTTTTCAGTTATTGACTTGGACCATTTAAAGCATGACATTACTGTAGGTCTCTGATTTTATCCTTGCAGCCCTAGAATGATAGGAAGCTTTTAACAATATTCATGAGTGATTAAGTAACCTTGCAAATATTTATTAAGTGGAGAGCTCACTAGAATTCTCTAGAAATGTGTACCCAGGTTTACTGGGCTATATAGGCAGGAGAGCATCTCTGGGACTTCGCAATACTGTTGTGCAGCTGAGTTCAGAGTGGCCCCAATACGCAGTAACTCATTTACTGGTTAGTGTTGTCAGGAAAAATCACAAATGATGGTTTTTGTTGTCATACTGGGCTGTGGGAGGCAGAGCACACCCACAGGCTGCGCTGACTAGGCATTGATAAAGCTAATGGATGAAAGTACTTAGTGAAAGATGGGAATTTTTCAAAACAGAGGAGTGGTTCAAAGGCTAGGAAGTTTACTTTTCATCAGTAGGTATTATTTTTATTAAGATCCTTTCTCCATTTTCTTGTTTCCAGCATTTTTGTTGTGCTGAATTCTGAGTTACAAAAAAAGCTAATTATTTTTGCAGATAAAGTTAAATTAGTAATTCCCATTTTGAACTGCTGAGGAGATTGCAGAAGGAGGGCTTCAAAGCTGTTGGATGGAAGAAGATGGAGACATAGACAGGCGGACCTGAGGGGGAAGACCTACAAAGAAGGCTGGAGGGGGCCTGTCCCTGCTCTGCCAAATCAAACATCTCAAAGGATTGTGCTAAGAGGGACAAACTTTGATTCAGACCAAGGGCAGAAATGCTTGAAGGGCCAGTGAACGACTGAGTCTCTGCTGTCTTTTCAGCAGAATCTGTGTTTCCCAGACTACTATGCTGTGTTGGGATTGTTTCTGGGTATGATACCAGGTAGCTAAGCTTTTCTGGTGATAGTTTTGAAAATTAAAAAAAAAAAAAAGAGGGAGTCTGTGTGAACCTAATATCAAAGTACATCATCCACCTCTGCAGTGGAAGGCACACTTGAAATTACAGGCAGGATAGCTTTAATGTGCCAACAGATTATTTTCTACAGATGTCTTTATCAGCGTATCTTGCACTATGTAACATAGGGACAGTGGGTGGGGACTTTGGTTTAGCACACCGCAGATTTAGAGCTGACAGCTCTCAACTTATGAGACTGTAATTATTTGTGCGTTTTTAGTTGGTTGATGTGTGCCACTGATTCACAGACGCAATTGTAATGCATACATCCCATCTGTAAGTCAAGATACGATCTAGAATGCACTTTCTAGAATGAGTGAAGAAGTGATTTTTTTTTGTATGAGTCATGGAAGACCATAATAGAATTGTTTGCAGTTGAAATGGAATTAATATCTCTTGTCATTCATGGTGGTTCTGCACTTGCATGTCAGTGCACAAAACATAATTAACAGTAATTCTAACATGCTTTCTAAGAATAAAACTTTAAATTTTGTTGTCACTTTCATATGTGAAATAATAGAGAAAATTATAACAGGGCTTCTCTTTTTGGGGAAAGGGAAAGAGACGGACAAAACTGCATTGTGTTATCAAGAGCAACTTCACAGAGCTCAGCAGACTGTGACAGCTATTTCAGAAATGGTGCCTTTCAAGATTTATTGCACATAAAAACAGCTTTATGTGTTGTCAGGAATATATCAAGTCATCCTTGTGCTGAGAAGACTTTCTGGTCATACTTTTATCTATTAAACTGTATTAATAGTATGGTTTAACTCATTGTCTGCTTGATTATTTTAAACAGAAAATGAAAAGTATGTTTTAAATATAAAATAATAACAAAATCACTCAAAAATTTTCTGAAAATATATAATTGTTTCCTGTGGTGATACTAAAGTTAATTTGAGAAGGAGTGTTCTAGGTATAAGCTTGCTGAATTTCAGTCTCTTATGATCCTCATATAATCTGCCTGTAATTCCCTGAGCCATCTATTGGATGGAGTATGCAATATAAGTATATAGAATGATTAGGAGAATGCATATATTCAAAGATCATGCTTGGCTGGAGAATTCTCCTGTATTCATAGGATTCTCTATTTACAAAAACTTCTTTATCCTCCTTTTGTGTTTTAGATATTGATGAATGTGAAAATGACTTCTACAATGGGGGCTGCGTCCATGAGTGCATCAACATTCCAGGCAACTACAGATGTACCTGCTACGATGGGTTCATGTTAGCCCATGATGGCCACAACTGTCTTGGTAAGTAGTGAATGCTGGCAAAGAAGTTTAATTTCATGACTGTGGTAAGAAAGCCTGATGTACTGGCAGCATTTTGTCAGCTCATACATGTTTGCGATGAAGGCCTGATCCAGATCCTACAGCAGTTTCAGACAGTGCCGTGTGCTCACATTTAGGGTATTATTTATATTATCATAAATTTAATAAGATTTAACTTGATGAAAGTTGAGATTCTGAGGCACTGTTCTGTGACAACTTGAACTGGTCATCACAGAAAGAAAAAGTGACTTGATTGTATTCAACTCCTGGATAATAACAAAATCTGTAGCCTAGTAACATTATTACCTTTTATGAAGTGCATAAAGTTGCACTGAATAAGTTGAAGTGTTTCTATTGACTCCAGTGTGGTTTAGACCAGACCATTAAGGTTGGCACTCATCATTTTAACATACTCTAATGTCCACATCTAAAATTAGAGGTCAGGGTTGTTTTTTTGTTTCCATTTCAGCAAGGCTTGTGCTGGATGTTTGGACTTCTTTTTTAAGAAAAGTAATCTTCCCTAAAACACATACATATTTTGCCTATTTCTTCCAAGTTTTGTAATTCCAGTCATAAGTTTAAAGTTTTCCCTCCCCCTTTTCCCTCTTTTTAGGATAAAAGGATTCCAGAACGTGCTGTATTAACAGGTTACTGAATGTTAAAAGTGCAGCTGTAATGAAGGAATACTTGAACAATAAAACAAGGCAGAAGAACAGTTATCAACAATAGATGTTTACAAAGGAAATGGGCACAGTCCACTAACTCTACAAAAACAGGTTCAGAGCACGATCTTAGTTGTATTGGCAGTCTTAGGATTTGGGGATCTGTGATTTTGATTTATGCCCATTGCTCTGTTTTAAATAGGTGGGTTTTATCCTATATACTGAAAACAAAGTTTGTGTTTTATGTTTTAATTTCATCACACCAATTACCTGGAAACAAATTTGACTGTTACATCCAGTTTCCCTTACCAGTTGACTTGATAGTCATTCTAGCTAAGTCACAGTGCATAGGACTTGTATTGTCTTTCTCAACATTCCAAATATAATTGCAACAGCTGCTGTTTGATGCATTACCAGATTCATTTCAAATTGATGTGCATTATACAGTTGTGAGGAATGTTTTAGCAATTCATGTCAATAGAGAGCTTGAAGGGAAATGTATTTGTAGGCTTTTCCTTGAAGTTTCTGATATCTGGGGGGTTTCAGAATAACTGCTAACTATTATGACTATTGCATGAGACACTGTGCAAGTCTCTGATATCTGGCCAGGAGATTAAGGAGAAGGGGAAATCTGAAGGACAGCTAAAAGACAAAGCTTGCAGGGAATGCTGTGCAAGCCTCTGACATACAGCCAAGATGGACAAAGGAGAAGGACAAAAAAAAAAAAAAAAAAAAAAAAAAAAAAAAAAAAAACTGAGAGGAAGACTATGAGCCTTCAGCATGAGAGACCGTCAGAGGGACCACCAGAGACTGATACGCATGCTCCAGTAGGAGGGTTTGGATTCTGGAAACTAATTATAACAACCCTGTTTCTTTTAGAAGTAGTAATGAATATCTATTAGTCTAGGAGCATAAAAATCAGCATCTTGATGTAACATGTGTGTGTCTTGGTGGAGCAGAGACTCCCGGCGCACCCAGCGCTGTTTGCTTACCTCTATTCCTTTAATAAATTTTAAACTTTGATTATAATCCTATTTTGGGACTTAGCCATTTATAACAGTGAAGAAAAGGGATATTTCATCTGTGTCATGCAACATCTTTACTTTGGTAAAGCGGAGGTTCTTTGCAAGAAAAATCAAAAAATCAGGTATTGAATGAGAAATCATAACACCAGCCTGCACTCACTGAAGCTATAGAACAACTAGAATTTCTGAGCAGGGTTCTGGTTAGCTTTTCAGTAGATGTATTTCCTACTTGGTTCATTTTCAAACTGAGTATGAGTTCAAATGGATTATGCATCCTGAGCATTGATAGGTTTTAGACTCAAACTTCCAAATTTCATTTATCATAGAACAGACTAAATAGATTTATTTGCCTCAACCTGAGGTGCTCAAATGATTAATTGTGCAAGTGGTATTTCTTAAACAAAGAGCAGCCAGCTATTCATTTGAAAATGAAAGAAAAACTGGTTATGCTATTGTTCACGAATATCTCTTAATTAAACAGAACCCAATCAAATATTTCAGCTACCTGGGATTCTAATAAATGTGCAAGTCTGTTGTTTCAAACTGCTTGCTATTATCAGCTTTGTTTCCAATCCAAATTTGTTTCCAAGTAATTTCTTGCAGACATTACTGTTGGGATCTGTTCTGTCAGCACACAGGGAGCCAGACAACAAGAATTCTTAGGGGGCAATTTGATCGCCTGAACATAGGTGTCTTGTGCCATTTAAAACACCCTGGAGCTGGCAGATGTGACATGGGATCTACTGCTGTAGATCTGGAGTGTGAGCTGGTGGCCAGATGGGATAATATAAGGAACCTAAAATGGTGTCAGTCTCCTATTTAGACAGCTGAATTGCTCTTTCAGTGACCTAGGCTGCATTTCTCACACACAAATCACCAGAAATCTTTGTCTAGTGATTTAAGATAGAAGGCCTAGGGATGGGAGCTAATAATAGTTTGATGATAGTCCTGCAGGCCACCTAGGAACCTCCAGAAAACAGATTGTAATGGAGAAGACTTGTGTCAGGATTTTGACTTCAGTCTGTGCAAAATCTTAAGCTATCTCTTCTTGGCAGTGTTTACATTTCTTTTTAAACCATCATTGGATGTCTTTCTAGTAACGTCAATATAGCAAGATAATTACAGTCTTTATAAATAACAAACTTGAAAAATTCACAAGTATTTGACACAAGTAATGTCAACTGTGGCTGACAGGTTAAGTATTTTTTCCTGCGTTCTTGTTTCAACATTTCTGTCTTTCTTTCTAATGAACCAAAATTTCTTGTTTATTTATTTGTTGGGAGGAGGTGTTTGGTTAGGATTTCATGGCTCAAATTTGTACTGGAAAATATCCAAAACCATCCTCAGGGGAACCTGACTCATTCTCTATTTGTCATTTTTATTGAGGAATTTCTCAAATATAACATGAAATGACACCACAGGGAATTTGAACTATGATGAGATCCTTGTCTGGCTAGAAATGATTTATTTTAGCACTGTAATCACATGGAATAGCAGTAGTTCTTTCTGAAAATTGCTCTAAATTCTGCTCTGTGGATGCAAGACTAATATTTGGTCTCATGCAATGGGTTTTCTTTATCCTTCGTTTGCAACTGGTCATGAAATATGTTTTCCTCTCTCATATACGAAATACCAGTCTGTTTTTTTTAGCAAGCAATTCGCTCACTGGTCCACATGTTCTTTCCTGTTTGATCATTTTTTCTCCATGATCTTACCGATAAATCGATTTTTCCTTCTTTGTCTTTCACGTGTTGAGCCATTGAAGCAGGCTATCAATTTCTATTCTCTTTTGCCTTTAGAAGAGTTTATGGCTTAACTGATCATCATTCCTATTACTACAGAACACTTTAGCCATCTTGTTTGTAGTAAATCAGTTTCTATTCTCAGTTAACTGGTAAAATCTGAATCTGTACTACAAAGAATCAATGGGTAACACGCCTTTTAAACTAGTTATTCAATATACATTCCCTCCTCTGATTCAGCATGACGCTTACAGGTGTTCCTAATTTGCCCCCCCCTCCCCCTTTTTTTTTTTTTTGATGCTTCTTTGATGTAATATTAAGAAAGAAAACTGGAGTTTTACATTTATCTAAGTATATTACTGAATTGAGGCCTCTGGAAACTGGGCATTCTTGTACTCTGTCTTCATATGCTGTTGGAAGCTTTCAGTCAGACTGAGAGCAGAATTGTTCCTTGACAGCAGATGTGCTAGAAGAGGTAGACTGAGACTGGTGTTAAAAGCTGGGTGTTGCACAAAGTAGATATGCTATTGATGGGGATGCTATAGGGAAGGCTAGCAAACATGTCTTCCTTTTCATTGAGAATTTCAAGGGAGCTTTGTTTTGTTGCCAATATAGAGGCTCTAAGATGTAGTTAGGAGGAGAAGATAAAATTTACTGGGTGTGGTGGTTTTTTTGTTTTTGTTTGCTTTTAAGCTATTGAGATAGGAATTGTCATATGGAAAAAAACTCTACTCCTTAAGCAGTGATTAGGCTTCAGCTGTTGGAGGACCGTTCAGTGTGAAGCATTGCATTTGGAAGATGCCAGAAGAGAGCAATGAGACTAATGAGTGTTGTAGATAAGATGGCTAATGCCAAAAGAATCAAATGAAAGGTTTAATTCTCTTGCATGGAAGAGAAGATGGAAAAGAAGTTACAGTAGTCATCAAGTCCAGAAAAGGTTGCTGCGAAGAATTGCAGTTTTACTGATTAGCCTTTATAGCCCTGCTGAATTGAATGAGGTAGAGCAATAGTGTTTGGTTACTGCAGTTGCAGAATTAAAAAAATTGCAATAGTGTGCTCCACTTGGATATTCAGAAAAAAACATTGAATTATTTTGCCTAAAGGATTCTTGTTGTGGAGTACTATTGTCTTAGATTCATCTCTCCCCTACTGTATAAAAATATTAGCTTCCTGGGAGAGTATTATATTCTGTTTTGGTCTGAAGCATTGCTTAACACTAATAAACCTAGGGATTTACTCAGGAAAAACTTGATAGAAACCTCAGTGAAAGCAGTTCTTACTGATATACCTGAGCAAGTCTTAAGTTATTCAGCATCTAGAAATAGAAAGTAGAAGAGAGTGCCATATCTATGTGATCTAAATTTATGTATCTAAATTTCCTTGCCAAAGGGCTTACGTGTCAGCTAATACTTGACTATTTGAGGCTTTCTGGAATTCAGCCATCTCTGATCAGACTGTCAAAAAATGGGGGGAAAAAAGTGTGAAAGAAAAACATGTCAAAGCAAAAAGTGATTGCCACTGATACGAGACAACCATGTGATACTTCCTCCAAA